TCCAACACGAGCTGAGTAGAGTCGCCCTCTTCTTCTCCTCCGTCGTGATATCATTCGCCTCCAGATGGAACTCAAACCTCGTGAGGTAAGAGTCCCAGTCTTCAGTAGTCGGGTCGAAGCATTCGAACTTCTGGCTGCTCGCGGCCATCGTTATGCGCACAGGCGGAGCCACCAGAGCGGGTGGAACCTGTGGCTGGCCGGCCCGTCCAGTTCCTGAACACTCCTGCTCCACCCTGGGGCTGTCATTGCACTCCGTGGTCTCTCATTCCACCCCCAGAGTAGTGTATTTGGGCCCAGAGACCCTAATGCATACAAAGACCATAACACAATATTGCAGAGACAATGCAGTACATAGTAGCTTGTATACTTTTTTAACGGTAGGTAAATTAAAACCTTTAAAATGGGTTGGTACGTCTATATTTACTAATAATAGTACAAGCTTCCTGTTAAGTCGTGTGCTTAACAAAGAGTCGGAGAGTGATTCAGCAAGAATTGCGGTTTATTCTTCAGCTTAGTTACGATCGCCAGCCAGAACCATCATTCGAACCACTCGAGCCGAAGGACAAGCACTGGCTGCTCTGTATTTAAACATTCCCGGCTAGTGTAGCCACACCCCCTGTACAAATAACAACCTATGAGGTTGAAGATATAATGCCCAATCACAAGCGGTCCCGCTTTACAGCGTGATTGGTAGACACTCTCTGGGCTAGGGCTCCTACTGGTTACATTAGGATCCTAGCCCAGGATGAAGCTCAACATGGCGTTTCAATCAGTCGATTCACACATCAGTATTTACACAGTTCACATAGCAGTTATATACAATGCAATACATAACACTTCGGACTTCCCTGATGAAGAGAAGAACGAAGCCCCACCTAAGGAGTCCCACCTTCAGAAGCAAGCTTGATCTCCAAGTTTGTTTTAATGCTTCAGTGCTTCAATTGCAGTTGTAAGAGAGGGGGAAAAAGTCATTTGGAGCCAATTGCTTTCCCCCCCAGTTGCCCGTGTGTGTGTGTGTGTACACATATAATTAGCACCCAAGGCACCCTGGCACACACACACACCCGAAAAAAATCCTGGCTACAGGGCTGTATTACCACATCTTGCATCAGTCTGAGAGAGAAACTGCACAGAATCTTTCTGCTGTAAACCTCACTGCACATGCACATTCAACCTAGCAAGTGCATTTTGCAAGTTAATTGTCTACACTAGGGTTCCCAGCCTCCAGGTGGGGCCTGGGGATTTCCTGCTTTTACAACTAACAGAGATCAGCTCCCCTGGAGAAAATGGCTGCTTTGGAGGGTGGACTCTATGGCATCGCACCATGCTGAGGCCCTTCCTCTTCCCAAGCCCCGCCCTCTCCTGGATCTACCCCCAAAGTCTCCAGGTATTTTCCTACCCAGATCTGGCAACCCTAGTCTACACTCTTACTTAGAATTGAGTTAAACTTCTAAGAAAGATAATTGTCCAACAGTGACATCAATGGATTTAGAAGAGGGTCACTCTGTTTAGGATTGCCCTGCAAATATTTTATGTTAAACTGGCTGGCTGGTGATCACCCACTGACTTTCATGACCAAGCAGGAGTATGAACCAAAACTCTCATATCCTAGCCTGGCTAACTATACTACACCATACTAGTTTCCAGTGCTCTCCTATGGAACAACTCCCTGCAACCAGAAAGCAAGTGCAGCAAGGAGAGAGAGAAGCGGGCAGAACCTTCTTCCTTGCAATGCTAGTTTTCTAGTTGCAAGGCAACTAGCCAAGCAAGCATGCTTTTCTTTCAGAACAAATTTAGAATCCAGTGGCACCTTTAAGACCAACGAAGGTTTATTCAAGGTATGAGCTTTGGTGTGCATGCACACTTTTTCAAATACACTGGGGAACAAATTTAGATCTGGATCTATTTTTCCAGGTTATTATTATTATTATTATTATTGTTGTTGTTATTATTATTATTATTATTATTGCAAGCGTAAAAACAGCAAGCAAAAAAAGAGGACAGAGGGCTCTTCTCCGTACGGCACTAGCTTTCTAGTTGCAGGGAGGTGTTTGTTTTTTAATGTGTAGGAATATTCCACGCCGGGATGCACCAGCTTCACCACCTCATTTCTATTTCAGACGTAAACCCGGCCTGAACCATCGCAGCTTTTCATACGTCCTCTCAAAAAGGAACCCTCTCAAAGTCAAAGTTACGCAGAAACGTCCGTCCAGCTATCCCACCCACACCCGATATCCCTCAGCTCGCCACCAGCCATATTTTGACTGACAGACGATGGAAGGCGGTACTTCCAGTTACTCGGACCCTTTGCAAGGGGCAACAGATGCACAGCGAACATCTCACCCATAGATACAGGAAGATGAAAACCTAGAGCGGCACACGCCCAGTTAGAAATCTGTTGGAAAGCCGCATTGGCTAGTCGGTACTAGAGGGTGCCACTGTAAGACTTCTCCGTGAGGAAAGTCCTATTGTAAAGGCTTGTTTAGTTTGTGGGGGAAAGGTGCTTTTCCTGTGAAGAACAAAATCTCAAGGGCTGTGGTGACTCTACGACCCTCGTCTTTTAAATTTCCATTATTACACACTTTAAATTTTGATTTTTAAAAATTGAGGTGAAAGCTACCCTCAAGAGACGCTCCGGAAGTTAAAGTTCCCGTGGGGGGTGGGGTAAATGTCGCTCTAGCCTCTCCCATCTCTGCTTCCAGGATCTCGCGCCGCGCATCCAGTCCTTCTATACCGCCTCTCCGCGTTATTTGCATGGCAATCCGTCCATTGGCTGTACGTGCGAGAGCTGGCCAATCCCGAGCATCCTTTGCTTAGTTTGGCGCGCTGAAGACCGAGCGAAGTCGGGAGAGGTTAGCGAAGTGACGCCGGGGGCCTGTGGAAGTGGAGTTGTTTTGCCGCCGCCTTCTTTCGCCCTTCCCTCTCGCGACATGTGGAACGGTGAGCGGAGTTGCATGTGTGAATGTAGCGCGCGCGTTACGAAGTAGTGTGACCTAGATTCCGTTTCAACTGTGAAGTAGGAGGAAAATATTCTTTGGTTTAGGTCTGGGAATGGCTATCCTCCCTTCTCTTCCCCCATATGTTTTTTCTTTTCTTCCAAGTTTAGGTTGAGGAACGGTTTTCCCACCCGCGTTTTATTTCCATAACACTCCTGTGAGGTAGATAAAGATGGGTTAGTCTGTCTCTTGCAGGAAAAAATAGTAAGAGTCCAGTTAGTAGCACCTTAAAGACGAACAAAATTTGTGGCAGAGAATGAGCTTTCCTGCATCCACCTGGACTGAATCGAGACCTAGGTTTTCTGCCTCATTACCAAGGCTGATTTTTTCACGCCTGCTACCTCTCTGCATCACACCTAATCCAATCACACCTGCTATTGTCTTTTGCTTCATAATGTCATTTGGCATCTGAAATCACTCCACTTTTTAATATATAGGACAGAGGGACTTACGTTCTAGCTGTATCTGAAGAAGTGAGCAGTGACTCATGAAAAGCTCATACCCTATCACAAATTTTGTTAGTCTTTAAGGTACTACTGGACTATTACTCTTTTGTACTCCTGTGAGGTAAATTAGCAAATGTGTGTGACTGGCCCCATGTCATCCAGTGATTAGAGAGGGGGATCAGAGGGGGGAGGGTTAAAAATCAACATGAAATGTATGGGTAAAAAGACAACATGTAATATTTACTAAAATTTTAAAAAAAATTTTTAAAAAAAGAGAGAGGGGATCAGACTTGTTTAAACACTTATATTCCACTTTTCTCTTAAAACACTGCATTTGAAACTGGGGTTCCCCATTCTTGATGCTCTA